TTTTAGTCTAAAACTGTACATTGGTCATAGTAACGATGCCGGAATGATAATAATCTCTGATTGCATCAACTGAAATATATACACAGAAGTTCTCTTGGATATGAGATGAAGTGGACAATTGCCTTTTCAAGAATCAAAATTTGAATGGATATTGAAACCAACACTTCCCCCTCGAGGCTATTTCTTCCGYGTCGTTTTCCATAGGTAAATTGCCCTCTAGCTCTATAAAAYCCATAAAATTAATCATTAAAGCTTGGAATCAGATCATTCATGCTACACATGCTTCCTCAACCTTGTTTCTTGTATTAAATATCACGGGTCGTGCACCTRAGGTTGAGTGGACGACGACCATGTGAAGCCAAAAGSAGACGGGCCTGGAGACGTTTTCCGTTTCGCAGTGCGCGCGGAAGAGAGAGATTATGAATTGACCTATTCGCTCACACGGAATGCAGGAATTCATTTAGCTTGAAATTATTAATGTCTAAGTGCGAAAACGTTGAGAGCTCGAGACAGTGTTCCAGGACAATGACAAGCTCTACTAGTTTTATGATCTTAGAGAAAAGAAAATATTCGAAATATGTAGATTTTTAAATGAGTTTATCAGGCAATTATAAATTCACGCCTTTCAAATGATTGAAACGGACGGAATAAAAAATAAATAAATAAATAAATAGATCCAAGGTTGTTTTTAGCATTCGATTGATAATTYTATATCATGGCAGGAATCCGGTTTGGAAATTTCCAGCTGCCACAATGATATCTACATTAAAGGCTTGTCACACTTGACACAAGAATATATCATCGTTGGTTGAGTAATGCTCAGAGAAACCACTATCGGATTGGTGATCAATCTTGAAACCAAGGAAGAATATTGCATGATTGTCATGCTATTATGTATTAAGTTTCTGATTTCTTACGTCTGACGATTAGTAATTGATTTAGAATCTTCGAGCATAGAATATACCATTATATTTCGTGAAAAGTTTAAACTACATGTTTGATCGAAATGAACGGCGAAACAGGAACTTATCAAGCACGGCTTTTTTTTGGTATTCATCAATTTGATGTTAATTGGACTAATAGTGCTAAGGTAGCCTGGGAAACTGAATACCCGTTGCACAACTAATACTGCTTGAAGGCACTTTACGTAAATCCTAAATGTTTTTGGTGTTTTAAGCTTTGTTAGTAATTAAACTTAAAGTCGGCCATGCATCTTCAACGCCTGCCATTTTTTAATGGGAACTATCCATGATCGAACAGCTGGAGAAGACACTTCAATTACTTCACAAAAGTAGTCCAACTTTAACCACGTCTCTACAACTACAAACACTATCGAATCTTAAGGACGGAAAATGGCCATGTATCAAGTCAATAAATCAAGAAACATAACAGACACTTCTCCRTTGGAAGTCTCGGAAATCATCGAGGCAACGGGCATGGCGATATTCGTGATATCTTCGTTATTTCTGAACATTTCTGTTTGCAGTGTCATTTTAAAAAGTAAACTACTTCGACGGAGAACAACGAACATTTTCATTATAAATTTAGGCATTTCKAACATTCTCATCACTTTGTTGATCATGCCATTCAGCTGTAGAGCGGTAATACTGCGAAGCTGGGATTACGGAGGCATATTTTGCACGGTAAGTGTTAAAACACACAAGGACAGATGAGTATTATAAACTATGTGTTTTTATAAGAGAAAGTAAGGTCTAATGAAATACTCCACGGGCAAACTCGACTGAGAATTATCACCAACGTCCTGCTGTTCAGTTTTTGATGGTTTTCTCCTGTTTTTTTAAAGAGTATTTATATATTATTTATACTTATACAATAGTATTTCATAAAATAATGTTAAATKTTACTCCTACTTTCATAACATTCACTAAATCGTCAAGGAACATGGACAGATTTCAAGTATAAAATATATTATTTTTTCGTGGTATTTCTTCCTCGATTTCTTGAATTTATTTTGATCAAATCAATCACATCTCATCTTGTGTTTTTTTTTACTTTGTAAATATGCTCGAGGAATGTTTTCCTTAACCAAATCTCCTTAGATGTTGATAAGACGGWTACTTTTCTTCGTCATTCTTACATTCTCACATTAATGTTTAATACTCAAATGTTTTTTTGAAAACAACTGAAATATTGAGAAAAATGTCTATTTATGTCTTCTTAAATTGTTTCAAAATTGTTATCATTTAAATATGAATTTAAAATGGAAATTTAATCTACGATTTTCCTTAGTTTTTATCAGATACTCACGAATCTACTTGGGACGACTTTTTAGATTATTTTAACAATACTACGGACATTGAATTGAAAATTGTTCCAAGATTATTAGCTTTTCACTGATAGCATCACATCAAAATGAATTGTGTACTATTTCAATTCTATCAAGGATCTTGTCAAGTGTCAATAATCGTCGCGTAGCTTTTTGACTTTTTGTCGGTTCTCTCACAATAGCGAAGAAATTRCTTCTGAATGTTGTTTAAAACGTTTCTCTTTCATGACTAGTATGCWTGGTTTAATGTTGTTTTTCAGTATTGGTCAAACTCCTACTCTTTTTTATATTGTTGACGCACGTAAGCCTTGCGCTGTCATTCACTAGCTTACGGTTTTTCTAACTCTTAAGTTTTTTGATCCTAGCTTTTTTCATATTGCTTAAGCGTGAGCGCTTAATAGTGAATTAAAACCTTCTATCATATCGTCAAAAGRTTTAGTGCAAATATTGTCTAATAAATGCTGGTCACGAGCACTTCAATATGCATTATAAAGAGTTGTCATAATCCGATCAATATTGCATCATCACCTCAGCGCTCAACGATATTGCTCACGGGTATATCATATCTACTATCTCACTTTAGTAAAATATTTTTAAACGAAACTAAAAGGGTATAAATACGTCAGTAATTTATAGTGAGGAAAGTGCATGCTTCGGTTTTTGATTCAAGTACATTAATACAACAAAACGCTGAAAAAATCAAGCTAAACTATATATTTTAGGCGTGGTCATTGACATGTTTTGGGTAACAATGCAAGGAAAGACTCGTGACATAGGTCATGTAAAGATGCACTTACTGACACTTCAAAAATGCATTGAATTGGACACTCAAGGGATAGATTAACAAAACGAGAAAACGTACGATAAGATATTTAAAAAAAGAAAAGTTAAAAGAGCAATCGATGTTCAATTGAACTGATCTGATATAGAATGCACATGATAACGATGATAATGATTGTTATCATCGACGAATATAGTAAGTAGTCACAAAAAAGAAGAGTAACAGTTTTCTAAATCTATTTTTTCAGATTAATGGGATGATGAGTATGACATTGTTTGTAGCGTCCATTACAACACTTTGCTGCATCAGTGTAGATCGATATTACGCCGTWGTCAAACCCGTCAAATACAAAAATGTCTTTACAGTCCGCAAAGCTGGATTTATGGTGGCCTCGTGCTGGTTCATGTCGGTCTCCTGCGCGTCTCTGCCCGTATTTGGCTGGACAAAATACATCTACCATCCTGGAAGTAATCATTGCTCGCCTCAGTGGCACAATCACTGYGGATAYTACTTTTTCATGACGTGTATAGGTTTTGGGATCCCTTTGGTAATCTTGTTCTTAACGTACTGGATGATATTCGCTGCTATACGTAAACACGAACGTAGGTTTTCAACATGGAATGTGGTTGCTCCGCGGTCACCATGTCGAAATRACATCGACAAGCCAGTCATTACCGTCGATGCTGTGGAACGTGACTCAGTTTCAATGCACGAAGGAATGCTGGAGCTAAATKCAAGGAACCTYCTTAGGGGAACGTTTCGAGGGCGRTCCCGTAGCATATGCTCGCCTGACGCCACCCCAAACTTGCAAAGGAAAAATAAATTAGGAGAAGACTTACTAAAAGTCCCGCGACATTCAGAAATCAAACGACAAAGCTCGYTGYTACAGTTTCGAGCCCTAACGCAGATCAAAACACGACTRAAATCCCGTACATTGACTATCCCGCGGGAATATCGTATAGCAAAGACGGGTCTCGGGTTGTTTCTAGTGTTCTTTATATCCTGGGGTCCACATATGATTGTTAATAATTGTAGTAGCGATTATATAACACCCCTATGGGTATATCGAGTATCGATATGGTTTGTKTACACCTCGTGTATMCTAAACCCKGTGGTGTATGCCTTCTCAAGCAAACATATCCGTGATGCATTTCGGGTTGCTCTTAAATGTCGACGAGAAAGACGAATTGCGGATGCTTTTMACATGCGAAGAATGAGCGAAGGTACAAGCACAAATCATATTACTTAAACAGACTAGTAGTTTATTCTTCAGAATTGACATTATCATGATTCAAGCTGTGATTTAGTAAAATTGATATATATATTGGATAGAGGCACTGGGAGAGTAMAGTTTCTTGCACAATATGATCGCAAAGTGTGGGAATCGAACCCATGCCTGTAGACTTATGAAAATTTTTCATGAAAATATCATTTTTAAAATTCAGATTTACTTTTCATGTTTGAACTCGCACACAAAATTGATTGTTATGAAAAATGATGCAAATAAAGTTAAATAAAAAGAGAATCAAACCCTAAATCCTCTAGTTTACTTGTGATTGCTTATGGCCTGGGGTTGGAGTTTCTTGCCTCTGCCTACGACGAAACATTCCTCGAAATCTCCTGCTTTACGTAAAGCCATACGATGATTTGCCAGCTTCGTCTTTATGCCCGTCTTCATGTGCGCGCATGAAGATTGGCTGATGYTTGCTTGATTTTTCAATGGCATRGTTTAATTTTCGTTACATTKCCTCCTCTCGACATAAAACGCTATTGCGTCTTCCAGTTACGTTTTGTCGATTTTATTATGACGGCAAGAATGCAATAGTATACATAAACAATAGCAGCTATATATGAAGTGAGTACTATTTTCTTGTTTATTTTACCTTAATTTTTACATAAGCACTAAACGACTAAGCAGTGAGAAGTGCTTCAYAATAGTTAAAAGTTTCAACCCTTCGCGGTGCGATAAAAACGTATAGTACAAATGGTYAAGACCATAWACGAACAGTACCATCAGATCCYGAAGAAAGCAGGAATTCACCCCCACGATCAAACAACACACTCTGGACGGCTTCTTCATGTCCTGTCAACTGACTAATGTTACCTGTCGCGACTTCATTCATCTTGACAGATCCATCGTTACTCGCTATGGCAAGTACTGTCCCACTGGGATCAAACGCRACGCGGTTAGAGGGATATGGGCCTAAGTCATGGGTTGCCATGCAACCAACTGTGCGCACATCCCATAATTTCACAATGCCGTAAGCGTCACATGATGCTACAGTGTCACCCTGGAATTCAAAAAAGAAAAACGGTTTTGATTAGATATATGGTTATATTTGGTTCTGGAAATTAGAATAAAATAGCTTCAAGATATTTTTTTATTCATTACCTTGAGATTAAACGTTGCTTGGTTACAGGAGTKCATGTGTCCATAGAATGTCTGCGCACATAATCCCTTAATATCAAGAAACATTTGAAATAAGTACATTGGCAAGTCACATGAAAATGGCGGGAAATAWAGGTGCGCGCGCGCCGTTCACAATAAAAATGGCGGGAGTTGAGTTCAAAAATCCCAAGAAACACACACATACAAAAAATTGGTATGTAATAAACGACTTATTCAACTCACTTGCTTTATCTAAAAACAAAAATATCATACATCGGTCTGGTGACTATTATTATTTTACTAAACAAAATGTTTACCGTTCTTGCGTCCCATAACGATAGTGTTTTGTCGGCTGAGCTTGTTAAAAGGGTGTTGGARTAAGGGAGAAACACAATGCTGTTGACGGAGTCTGCATGTCCACGTAAGGTAAGGCGGCAACGTTCGCTAAATGAAACCAAACAAAAATGATGAACGTCGATGGAGTAGCGATGTTAACAAAAAAATATAAGTACCTGTTTAGGTCCCATATCTTTGAGGTACTATCCATGGAGCAAGATGCCAGGAAATCACCCCCAGTATGCCAGGAACAGCCCCAAACAGCATGAGTGTGATCAGAGAATGTCAATACACACTGTGCTTTAGAGAAGTCCCAGATCTTAATTGTACCATCACCAGAAGATGTTGCAAGACGAGTACCACTGTTACAGTACATCAAAAACAACTAATATTAGAACTAAGAAATGGAAAATTGGAGGCAAGAAAAGATGGAAAATATTGCCTGAACTGAACAACTTGACCATGAAATATGAAAAATGGGAATTAAAAACAAGAATATATGAAAAGAAGGTTTTCATAGACTGAAGAAGAGACATAAGAAATGAAAAATGAAAGCAAGGGAAAGGATGTACTTACCCTGGATGAAAGTCGCAGTCAGAGATCCAATCTTTATGTCCTTCACCAGTCATAATGATCTCCCCGCTGCAAACATTATTATTATTAATGTACTTCTACTATGTGGAATCGGATGGGATGGGATAGAATAGAATTAGATGGGATGGAAATGTAATAGAATAGAAAGGAAAAGAAACCCCTTGACACACCTTGGTATGGCCCACATCTTCCATGACTTATCATCGCTGACTGTTGCAAGAATTTGTTTGCGAGGATGAAGAGCAAGACTACAAATCAAATGAATTCATAAGTATTTATATCCCAAGAAAGGGATACATGTGGACAACTTGAAATCCCTGTCTAGTCCTCATTGTTTGATTGTAAGCATCGCATAAAAAGTTGATGAATAAATGAATATATGAATCTTACTTACCCACTAACTGGCATACTATGTGAGTTTATTGTATGAGTAAGACGAAAACCTCCAGATCTTGTTAARTGAGCTGAYGGTCCCTTGTGGAAGTTGAGCATTGGATTGACACGGGTGTCAACTGGAAATTCTGAGTCCTAAAAATTCAAAGAGTTTTCTCATCAATGTACAGTGTTGTATAAGTGTATTTATATGTGGCCTACATACTTGTACACATAAAGCATGGTTTTTACCTTGGGATGCCTCTTTTCTGCAGTTTGCATTATATTATTATCAGCAGTTCTTTGTGGAGGACGTGTTTGATTCACTTTGATTTTTCTTTCAGGACCAGCACTTCCTTCTGTAGTTGACAAAGTCATGTTAGCTTAAATGCACTAAGAGAACAAATCAAACTACTAGCCAAAACTGTATATGATTTGAATAAGTTAAACTGCATATACCTKGTATAAGTTCTCKTGTTCCGCCAACTTGGGTCAAGGTGGACTGCAAGCCAGCAACCTGTAACATAGACATAAAATTCATTTACATTTAAATATGTTAAAATACATTGTAAAACCATAAAAGCTTGCTTYCTCTGATGAGAAGAAGAGAACTATCTGTATATCTCCTGTAACAATAAAGAACTTAACTACTTAATTTTTCTAATAATGTTTTTATTACCTGTCCAACTGCTCGATCGCGCTCTAGCTTACTCAGCATCTTTTCCTTCATTGCGACCTGACAAATTTTGATGAAGCAATAAATATTGATTCCATGCAAGCAATAAAGGTTAGGGAATAGCACTCAAACTTTTTTCATGCATCTTGAGAATTTACTGGGTTTGTTTTACACRTTTGGAAATTAGCATAGTACATTTTATTAATATCATCTTACAACACAGGGATGAAAAGTCAAAATCTCAGAAATATATGTATCTGGCATTAACAAATTGACGCATATTGAAAATTTATCCATCAACCTTAAAAGTTTATTTTTACCTCATACTTCTGCTTCAGGGTTACAAGTGTTGGTTCATAAGAAGCATAATGCTTTTTTAATCTCTTGATATCTGTGATCARCTTATTTTTCTCTTGGACAACCCTTTTATGGTGCATACGATGRAAGTCTCTTTCCTTACGCAGTCTCACAAATGTTTGACGTGCATTTCTGAAAAGCAAGCATTACAATGAATCAATAGTCTGTAGTATATTACCAGTATATAGTAGATGATTTTACAGATGTAAAAATACACCAAATAAAAGGTGTAGGATAAGCTACATGTATACTCACTCTGCAGCACTTCTATATTTCTCAACATCCTGTCTCAGATTTTTAACCAGTTCATCTAGCTGTTGATTTCTAAAACATGAGCAAATCATTGAGTTTTAATAATAATGACAAGATTAACCATCACTTTCTTGGAAATGTTTCGGTGACTCTGGTTCAAATCGTGAAACAACTATGTTATGATGACGTACGTCTGTAAGAGACTGTTTTCAGCACAATGATGCAAATAGTTTTGACATTGACAATTTTAGTGCTATCAAACTTACTTTACATAAAGGTCAGGTACAATACGCACTTCCTCCTCATTTAATAAACCTTTTTGCAGTAATTCATACCTTTGACAAAGGATAAAAGGCAGTTTAACACAGGAATATARGGATGACATTTACTAAATCATCAACTTACCATTCGGTTTGGAAACAATCCAAAGTCCTGTTCATCCCCATTTTGACCAGGAAGTTCCTCACAAAGTCTTCGACTACCTCAGGCCTCTACAAGTAATGCATATAATTTTTATGCAAATATAATTTTTATTCTTAAGGTAAATGATCCACTAACAACAAAATAAATAAATTGTGTATCAACCACAGCACTTACAGTTTTAACTGAAGCTGACACAGGTCCTGATTTCTGAAAAGATTCATGCATAAGAAATTATTTGGACTTAGCACTGATAGATAATTATCTGATAAAATTTATCACATACTGTAAGTAAAGTATCTGTAGATTTTTCTTGTATTGTTTTCACTGCAGTGTYCAAGTCTTCATCTCCCTCTAAAAAACGAACACATAAAAATAATTCACTGGAAGCACTAATACTCAGTAAAGCATTGAAACCCTAGTCCTGCAAACCCTGGTAATTGCTGGGGAATTAAAGAATTATATCCAGTGATTTAACACTGTTTTAACAGAACAATCAAGAAGATGGAGAAGGGATTAGACACTAAATCAAAAGGAATTGATCTCTTTCAAAGGCATCTTTTTGACCTCCATGTGCTGGGAAATCCCAGGAAATGCCAAGGGACTGGAGGAGGGCAACATAGTCAATTGACCGATACATAATACCAATAATGATGCTTTAGTTTATGAACATTAATTATTTTTCTACTATGCAGATACTACATCATTTTCATGGCTCTTACCACTGACTGAATAGTCATCCTCCAGAGGGACCTAGAAAATGGACAATGTTTACATGTAATTCCACTTTACATAGATATCATCAATACACAATCAAAGCACACAAATTTTCACAAAACAATTACAAGCATTAAAGCAAAATAACCTCATCATATTCAAACTCGTCATCGCTATCCTCTGC